GTGGACATGCCAATAACCTTAATATGAATTATTTATACATAAAACAACGGCTCATGGCCTCATACATATCATTTACAAAAATCTCATATGCTAAACCTCCAAAGTTTGTTTAAATACATTCTTAAAGCAAAAGATGGTACCAAATGGCTATAAGTGATAAATTAAACATGCTTGGCCTCTGGCCTTATTACATACATGTTATTTAAGCATCAAAAAGTGTACTTAGGTACACATTACATATTTCAAAACAAAAATAGCATTTTACACCAAAATGATACTACATGCTAACACTCGCATGTTTTAAAAAATACAACAAACTACATTAAGACTTCAAAGCAACTTAAGGATGTGATGCATCCCAAAACAAAGTTTTTTTACCTGCAAAATAACCCAAACAACTAGGGTGAGTAATCAAGTTACTTGTAGGATGTGGTGCATGCGCATACCCTATAGTCTCAAGTATAATGTGAACCAAACATAGACCATCACAAGGGTGCATTCCACCTAACGTCTATGTTTCCATGGTACTCTAAAGGATCGTCTCAAGCTACACAAATGTTTGAAATGATAAACACGTAGCATCCAAGTATACAAGACAAGTACACTAACCACATTATAACTAAGATTACCAAATCATAAGCTACAAGAAATCCATGATTTACAACTTGGAAAGTAATACGAAATCAAATAATGGAAAGACTAGGATATGTGACCACGAAAACATACAAGTTATTTTGGGTAATTACGACCCACAAGGTACTCCTAGTGCGCACTATGACTTAGGAGAATTCCTATCCTCTGTACTAGAGCCAAACCCTAGCTATCAAACATTTCATATCCTTACAAACTTCCAAAAATCAACAAGTTCATGACATTTATGCAATCTCAATGCATGAAACTACCTAACAAGCACAAGTAGGGTAAAACCACATAACCCATGTCTTAAGGTTACATGTCTAAAGTGGCAAGTTAATGATACTACACATCATGTTATATCAATTTACTATCAATGTAGGCCATAATTGCAAATCATGAAATATAGTAATCTACCTACAAGTAATTATAAGTGCCACACACAAGATTTTCATACTAAGCTTTCAATGAAATTTATATTACTTAATATCATAAATGTAATCTCAAGATATTCATAATAAAACCTCAATGGAATCATAAGTATTAGGCAATTTATTAGACAATAACATTCCTATACAATTTAATAGTCACATACATGCTTTAATCCACAAATCATAAGTCAAGCATATAAAATCTCTATTTACATGCTAGTATAAGAATTTAAAAAGGCATGTAATCAATATATATCAAGCTCCAATATATATATAACCCAAAGAGGATAAACATACAACCACCCCTACCTCAATAGAGAATTGAATCTTTATAATCCAAAGCAACTAAGCTTAAAATGAAAAACCAAACTAGGGTGTTATAGAGGAGAATGAGACGAAGATAAAGTATTCCAAGTTTTTGGTTCTAAGGTGAGTGGAAGGAGGCCAAAATGAAGAAGAAAACTATTAAACAAACTTTTCTCCAATGGTGACTAAGTTAGGGTTCTTGAGAGGAAAGAAATAAAATGAAACAAAGGTGTAAACCCTAAGCTAAAATGGTGGGATTCTCCACTCACTAGGTGTTCTTATACTATCTCTCACACACACACTAATGCAAGACCAATTGTGAAGCCTACATTTGTCACCATCCTATGTAAACTTCCAAGACTTAACATTGAGCCTACACTTGTCAACCATCCATGCCAACAAGTGCTCTAATCCTAGGCCAACAAATGGGTGAATCTCCACCCTCCATGTGTCATAAGATTAAGCCTCCAAGTGGTTCCTCCACAATATCAACAAGTGGCATCTTAGGAATGTGACACTTGTCACATTTTTTGAAAATTGCAAAAAGGTCCTTTTTTAAAATATCTTCCAAATTAAATTACAAAATGGTCCCTAAGACGAAAAATAATTACTTTATTTAATTACGCAAAACCCCTCAAGTTTAGAGTATTTACCAAAAGTTACGCATTTATGCCCTTTACAAGAAAAGTAAACATTTAACATGCTTTTTTACAAAAGTGAAAATGTAGATATCATAGAAATGAAATATCATGGATGTATGCAAAGCCGGAATCAAATCCGAGCACAAAACGTGAGTTTATGCAAGGAAAAATGAAAAATGACAAAAGGACGAAATAGGGAAAAGACAAAAAAAAGAAATTTACCGAAAAAAGAAAAGAAGGGAAATGACCGGGTCATTTCAACCTACCCTCCTTAAAAGGGATTTCGTCCCCGAAATTGAGTCGTACCTGTAAGAGAGAACAAATAGGGGTACCGAGAGTGAACCTCCTGCTCAAACTCCCAGGTAGCATCCTCAACGCCGTGGTGTCTCCACAAGACCTTAACCAATGGAATGGTCTTGGTTCGCAAGACCTGCTCTCGTGAATCAAGAATCTGGACTGGACCTTCCTCGTAGGTCACATCCTTATCAACAATGACATCTGTCCATCGTAAAACATGTGATGGATCTGGCTTGTACTTCATCAGCATAGAAACATGAAAGATGTCATGAACCCTATCTAGGTCTGGCGGTAAAGCTAAACGATAAGCAACTTCACCGACGCGCTCCAATATCTCAAATGGTTCAATGAATCTAGGAGACAACTTGCCAATTTGGCGAAATCTCAGAAGTCCCTTGAGAGGAGAAATCTTAAGAAAGACATGGTCCCCTACCTCAAAAGACAAGGATCGCCTCCTCCTACCAACATAACTCTTCTATCTGCTCTGTGCGGTAGCCAACCGCTGCTGAATCAACTTAATTTTCTCTATAGTTTCAATGACAATGTTGGGACCCAAGGCAACGGTATCACCAACCTCGGTCCAACACACTGGAGATCTACAAGGTCTGCCATACAACGCCTCAAAAGGTGCCATGCCAATAATGGTTTGGTAACTATTGTTGTAAGTAAACTCAACTAAAGGTAAGTAGTCCTCCCAACTACCACCGAAATCCAAGATACAAGCCCGTAGCATATCCTCCAATATTTGAATGGTGCACTTCGACTGACCATCAGTCTGAGGATGGAATGTCGTGCTGAAGTGAAGCCCCGTATCAAGAGCCTCCTGAAAACTCTGCCAAAAATGAGACGTGAATCACGGATCCCTATCCAAAATAATGGATACAGGAACCCCGTAAAGCCTGACAATCTGCCTCACATATAGTCCACTCAGTCTCTCTGCACTGTCTATCACTGCTATGGGCAAGAAGTGAGCCATCTTAGTCAACCTGTTAACTATAACCCAAACGGAATCATTCCCTACCTGAGACCTCAGAGGTCCTGCTATGAAATCCATAGTGATGTGCTCCCATTTCCACTCAGCTACTGGTAATGGTTGTAATAATCCTACCGATCTCTGATGTTCTGCCTTCACTTGCTGACAAGTAAGGCATCGAGCCACAAACTGTGAAACGTCCAGTTTCATGCCCTGCCACCAAAACTGTCGCCACAAATTGTGATACATCTTCGTACCACCAGGATGAACTGCGAGTCGAGAGTGGTAAAAATCCCTAAGAACGTCTTCAAGACAAGACAAAGGAACGAACATCATCCCCTTGTACCTGAGACCACTGTCTAAATGTAAGGTCCAACCCTCTACATTCTCACCACCTAAAATCTGAACATGGATGGCCTTCATCTCCCCATCCTCCAACTATGCCTCAATGACTCTGCTAACAAGAGCCAGTTGAGCCACAAGACTAAACAAAATAGCCGGTGAGACATCCTCATAAGACTGTAAACCAAGATCTGCAAGTTCTTCTAGCATCTTCCATCTGTGAATGGAAATGCTAGCAAAAGTCCCCCGTGACTTCCTGCTTAATGCATTGGCCACTACATTGGCCTTACCCGGATGATACTGTAACTCAAAGTCATAATCCTCCATGAACTCAACCCATCTGCGCTGTCTCAAGTTCAAATCCTTGTGAGAGAAGAGATGCTTGAGACTCTTGTAATAGGAGAAAACCTCAAACTTCTCTCCGTACAAATAGTGTCTCCACCCCTTCAGGGCAAAGATAACTGTTGCTAACTCTAAATCACGTGTCGAATAGTTCAACTTGTGAGTCTTCAACTGTCGAGACCCATAAGCAACCACCCGTTTTGTCTGTATCAAGACACAACCCAAACCTTCCCGCGAAGCATCATAAAAGATCGCATAACCCAACCCACATTCAGGAATGATCAACACTGGAGCTGATGTCAACCTGACCTTTAACTCCTGAAAAGCAAACTCACAGGCCTCGTTCCATACGAACTTGACCCCCTTGCGGGTAAGTCGAGTCATAGGTGCCACTAGACTAGAGAAATCCCGAATAAATCTCCGGTAATAGCCGGCTAGGCCAAGAAAACTCTGAATCTCAAACACTGTCTTCGGACATTCCCAATCCATCACCGATTCAATCTTTGACGGATTTACTGCAACTCCGCCCCCTAAACACAACATGTCCAAGGAACTTCACTTCTGATAGCCAAAATTCACATTTCTCAAACTTGACATACAACTGATTATCCCTAAGGATCTGCAACACTGTCCTCAAATGATGCTCATGTTCCTCCACCAAAGCTGAGTATATGAGAATGTCATCAACGAAAACCACAACGAACTGATCAAGATGGTCACTAAATACACGGTTCATCAAGTCCATAAAAGCTGCTGGAGCATTAGTCAAACCAAATGGCATCACCAGAAACTCATAATGGCCATACCGTGTACGAAAAGCGGTCTTGGATATATCCTCATTCTTAACCCTCAACTGATAGTAACCTGATCTTAAATCAATCTTTGAAAAACAAGTGGCTCCATTCAACTGATCAAACAAGTCATCAATCCTAGGCAAAGGATACATGTTTTTAATTGTGACGTGGTTCAGCTTGCGATAATCAATGCAAAGTCTTAAAGACCCATCTTCTTCTTTGCAAAAAGAACTGGTGTTTCCTAGGGTGAAGCACTAGGACGAATAAAGCCTTTAGCTTTTAAATCATCTGATTGAGCCTTCAGCTCGTCAAGCTCTGCCGATGCCATACAGTACGGTGCCATAGAGATAGGAGCAGTACCAGGAATGACATCGATGGCAAAGACAAATTCCCGAAGAGAAGGAAGCTCCGTCAACTCCTCCGGAAAAATATCCAAGAACTCCACAACAACTGCTAAGTAAACGCTACCTGAACTGCTTTCCTCGTCAGCTAATAGGATAGCCAAGTAGGACCTGTGGCGACTTCAGTCACCGATACTGAAAATCATCATCAAGTGGGAATCACTCCGATCTCCCACGAAGTGAAAGAAATCTCCTTTGGGAGTGCAAACAGTCACCCTCCCGCGGAAGCAATCGATTGTAGCACGAAAGAAGGATATCCAATCCATCCCAAGAATGATGTCAAAGCCCGTCATGTCAAAAACAATGAAATTGAACTCTAAAGTCCGTCCAGCTATCTCGATAGCATAACCCTGACAAACACGCTCCAAAAACACTGGACCCCCAACTGGTGTGTCAACACAAAAGAAACCATCCCACTGCGTGACCTCCAGACCCAATGAATATGCAAATGAAATAGATATGAATGAATGTTATGCACCTGTGTTGTAATACCCCTGATTTTAAAAAGATAGTCTCGGTATTTTAAAAAAAAAATTATTTTAATTACATTTAATTATTTAGTTGATTTCTTGGCTAATTGTTTACTTTTTTAATTTATTTAATTCTTTATTGTTCTTTTTGTATTCAAATGCTTGTTTAAATATTAATTGTTTGGTATCCCTTGTATTCTGTGCTCGGACTTGATCACCCATAGCTCTAGAATTGAGGGGTATCACATGTGTCAACAAGAACTCTAGCCCAAGAACTGAAAACTGGAAAGATACCTCGAACTGTAGAAGTCCCAGTAGAGGTATCGGCCTATGGCAGTGCGTAAGTCGTCCCTGAGCCCCCGACTGCTATGAACTGCCCTAATGGCCTGACTGATGTCCGGAAGCAGTAGGCGTAGAGCCTCTGACCGAATATAAACCAACTGGTGGCACTATTGACTGTGGTGCCTGGCATCCTAAAACCTGACTACACAACTACTGACTGTGCCGGTGCGACCTGTGAACCTATACCACTCTGTGTCCCACCTTGCAATTCCGGACACTCTTTCCTGAAGTGACCTAGTTGCTTGCAATAATGACAAGCTCCGTGAACCCCTTTCATCGAAGCTGTAGGCTTACTAGCCTGTGACTGACTGGCCTGTGGCTGAAGTTGTGGGCAACGAGGCTTGATATGCCCCGGCTGATGACAGTGGTGACAAATCACTCCTCGGGTTGACCCTGAAGATACTGGAACTGCAGGTACAGACCGAGCCTGCTGTGACTGTCCCTGAGTACGTGAACTGTCCCCGGCCTTAGCCTTCTTCCACTGACCCCCAATAGATACTTATGAAGCCTCTCCACGAGACTGCTTATATGAACCCTTGATCCTGAGCTGATCTCGGTCCTCTGCCTCCACCAACATAGCTTTCTGCACTACCTCCCCGTAGGTCCTTAATTCCAATACTAAAATCCTTGGCCTAATATCAAGATGTAACCCATCCTGAAACTTCATCGCCCTGAGCTCTTTGGTAGCTACCATCTCCGGTACATAGCGGGAAAGAGAAGTGAAGTGTGTCTCATACTCAATGACACTCATCCTACCCTGATAGAGACCTGTGAACTGCACTTTCATGTCCTACCTCATAGCCCTCAGAAAGAAACGGTCAAAGAACAATGTCCTGAACTCCTCCCATGTCATCACCTCTACATCGTGGATATTGGTTATGGACCTCCACTAAATATCGACATCTCCCATGAACATAGAGGCAGTTAAGGAGATCCTTAATCGGTCCGTAGGTACTGCCATGCTATCTAGCTTGCGTACCATGAGATCAAGCCATGCCTCTGAAGCAAGCGGATCCATACCCCCTACAAACTGGTTGATCTTAACCCGCTGTAACTTCATGAAGTAGTCCAATGCCTCATTAGCAACTGGTGCCGGTGTTGGTGCCAGTATCGGAATCTGCATCCCTGCCATATGCTGACGAAACATCGCCTAAATGGACTCTATTATTACATTACAAGTTAATTTCATACAATGTCGTGACCCAAGTTTTTCAACCCGGTGCGACAGTGATAACCTGAAAGTTAACCCAATAACGAATTCAAAATACGGAGGCAAAAGATGAAACTAAAGTCCCTTGAGATATAAATTATCTCTAAGACACCAACGTGACATTCCATGAAGCCACGGAAGTTAAAGAGAGCAAAAAAAGAATTAGGAGTCAAAACGGGTAAAATTCGTCAATCAATGGCAAAATGGTCAATTTACAATTGAGAAGGGAAATTTGATATACAAGTCAAATAAGTTAAATACAACTTAATCTAATCATTTCACAACATTCTAAGAGGTTCTACAAACATTGGCCAAGAATCCCACAAAATGCCCTTTTCACGATTTAAGCGAAAACTGATACTGTCCCACTAAAACATTAACAACTCCAACTGTGATTCGAATCTAAGAATGGCATATGTACCATTGGAAAGTTGACTCAAAATCCTTGAGTTTAGGCTTAAGAATCACCCCATTTGGGTTTGAAACGAAGAAGTTATGATCGTTTGAAGTTGCAACTTCAGTGCTGGAACAAAATCTGGAAGACAGGCGTATGAAGGGAGTTTCGGTCGACCGAAATAAAGTTTCGGACGACCGAACTAGACAGAATACTTTCTGAAGACATGTTTTTAAAGGTTAGTTGGTTCAATAGACCGATTTGAGGACATCAGTCGACCGAAATAGAGTTTCGGTCGACCGAAACTCCTCGAAAAGCTGCTGTAAGGCCTGTTGTAAGCCCAAGGTGTTAAGGTTCAACCTATACTTTGAATCCCATGATAATTTGGTTCAAAATTGAATGTTTAATACTGGTTTCTAATGAGATATGGATGTATGGAAATGCCAATAACCTTAATATGAATTATTTATATGTAAAACAATGGCTCATGGCCTCATACACATCATTTACAAAAATCTCATATGCTAAACCTCCAAAGTTTGTTTAAATACATTCTTAAAGTAAAAGATGGTACCAAATGGCTACAAGTGATAAATTAAACATGCTTGGCCCTTGGCCTCATTACATACATGTTATTTAAGCATCAAAAAGTGTACTTAGGTACATATTACATATTTCAAAACAAAAATAGCATTTTACACCAAAATGATACTACATGCTAACACTTGCATGTTTTCAAAAATACAACAAACTACATTAAGACTTCAAAGCAACTTAAGGATGTGATGCATCCCAAAACAAAGTTTATTTACCTGTAAAATAACCCAAAAAACTAGGGTGAGTAATCAAGTAACTCGTAGGATGTGGTGCATGCGCATACCCTATAGTTTCAAGTATAATGTGAACCAAACATAGACCATCACAAGGGTGTATTCCACCTAACGTCTATGTTTCCATGGTACTCTAAGGGATCATCTTAAGCTATACAAATGTTTGAAATGATAAACACGTAGCATCCAAGTACACAAGACAAGTACACTAACAACATTAAAACTAAGATTACCAAATCACAAGCTACAAGAAATCCATGATTTACAACTTAGAAAGTAATACGAAATCAAATAATGGAAAAACTAGGATATGTGGCCACAAGAACATACAAGTTATTTTGGGTAATTACGACCCACAAGGTACTACCTAGTGCGCACTATGACTTAGGAGAATTCCTATCCCTTGTACTAGAGCCAAACCCTAGCCATCAAACATTTCATATCCTTACAAACTTCCAAAAATCAACAAGTTCATGACATTTATGCAATCTCAATACATGAAACTACCTACCAAGCACAAGTAAGGTAAAACCACACAACCCATGTCTTAAGGTTACATGTCTAAAATGGCAAGTTAATGATACTACACATCATGTTATATCAATTTACTATCAATGTAGGCCATAATTGCAAATCATGAAATATAGTAATCTACCTATAAGTAATTATAAGTGCCATACACAAGATTTTCATACTAAGCTTTCAATGAAATCTATATTAGTTAATATCATAAATGTAATCTCAAGATATCCGTAATAAAACCTCAATGAAATAATAAGTATTAGGCAATTTATTAGACAATAACCAACCTATGCAATTTAATAATCACATACATGCTTTAATCCACAAATCCTAAGTCAAGCATATAAAATCTCTATTTACATGCTAGTACAAGAATTTAAAAAGGCATGTAATCAATATATATCAAGCTCCAATATATATAAAACCCAAAGAGGATAAACATACAACCACCCCTACCTCAATAGAGAATTGAATCTTTATAATCCAAAGAAACCAAGCTTAAAATGAAAAACCTGTTGACCTTAAGGATTTCATCTAAGGACAATCTAGTTGTTTTGATGATAACAAACCATTAATGGTGTTTAAGGACTAATGTTTACATTGAGTGTTGTATAGATTATTCACATTCAAATAATAACCTCAATGAAGCACCAAAGATCATAAAGACCATTACAAGTATTCCATTACTCAAGATCACATCTATGGAAACTAAAGAAGTCAAAGGAACTTGAAGTTGCAAGGAACCAAATACAAAGTCCATCCAAAGATAGCTTGGACTACAACGAGTAAGAAAGCAACTCAACGAAAGGAAGAAAGCAAGCCTACCTAGCCTACACGATCATGGATAAAGCACGAAGAAAGGGATAGATAGGATGGTGAGTGTTTAGGATTCAATGTCAAAGTATTTATGAATCCATTTGAAGCTCATCTCTATAGGACCATGCATATCATATCATCATTCATATGCTCCTATATCCATTAGCAATTGACTATGCACTTTATTCATATACAATTGACATATGGAGTCTTTGCTAAAGAGTGAGTTAGTTCAAGCTTGCATAAGCTTTGAAAGAACTCATCACTTGTGCTAGAAATGCTAAAACCATGCACATCAATCATAAAATTCATATTGGTTAACAATTAAGGCATGAGAAGCCTTTATTACCATAAGTTGGTAACGGACATTAGGACCCCAGAATGCGCGTCATGAAAAACTGTGTTTTTTGCTAAGTGTGAAAAATGGATTTTTGAAATAATGATTATTTCAAAATAATTTTTCCCGGTAACAACTCTTTATACTTCAACAAGCCTAAACTGATTTTATCAAATTTTTTGACCAAGTCTACATTGGTCTACATAAGGATTCATTTTTACCAAAACTATCAGAAATCCAAATTTGTACTAAAACTGAATTTCTACATTTTGATTTAGTTGGATTTCAATTTTTTAGTATTTTTTATTGAATCCAAATGGGGAGTACTTCCTTATTTACATTGTAAACTAAAAGAAAATGGACATATAAATACTATAAAGACATTTATCTAGGCAGTACTGATATTTCAGGAACATAACTTTCACGTCGACCGGTTTGGATTTTACGTCGACCGATTTGTACATACGTCGACCGGTTTGTAGCATACATCAACCGGTTTATGCAAAGACGTCGACTGGTTTATGCCATACGTCAACCGGTTTGTATCGGATCTGCAGAATTCAAAATGCAACGGCTCTATTTTCCTCGACCTTTGTGCATTTAACTCTTAACAGCTATATTGAGCTTGCAAACTCTATAAATAGAGTGGGGAAAGTCTTAATAATTAAGAGACATCATTTGAAAGACTTCATATTGCATTAAAGAAAGCTTTTGTTCTCAAATCTTCTCTTCATCTCTCTCATTCACTCTTATTCCATCTTGAGAGATTCTAGCAAAGATTAAAAGGGCTTTTGCTCTTGTTTTAATCTTCATAGAGTTTTTGCTCTATTCTTCACTTGAGAGATCTTATTGAGCTCATTAGAGCTTTTGTTCTACACTTATATCATCTTCTCTCATTCATATCATTTATAGAGTTTGAGCTTCACTTATATTCATATATACTCTAATTGAGAGCTAAAAGTTTGTACATCAATCTTTGAGAGATATTTCTTGTGAGCTTGCACTTGTATATCTATCTTGAAAGAGATTCAATCTTGTACTTCAATTACAATCTTTTCTACAAACTTGTAAGGGTTGGTGTGACCCAAAAGAAGCCTAGGAGAAGGGTGTTCTCTTAGCAAGGAAAAGAAGCAAAGTCTTGCTTCATGCAAAGGTTTGCTCTCCACCCGTAAGGAGAAGCCATAGTGGATTCGGAAGGCTTAAGAGGAGTCTTGAGCCGAGGAGTAGGAGTTTCCAAACCTCGCTAAAATCGCCGAGTCAATGTTTGCAATTTCTATTCCCTTATCTCTCTTATAATTGTGTTATTTAATTGCTTATTTCATATCTTTATAATTGCACAATTGTGTTAAGTACTTTGCTTGAAATTGTTTTTCTATATTGCAAAAATTATCCATTGTTTGTCATTGACTTTATTCACCACCCCCCCCCCCCCCCCTCTAGAGTCAATTCTTGGGCAACAAAACCAAACTAGGGTTTTGTAGAGGAGAGTGAGAGGAAGATAAAGTATTCCAAGTTTTTGGTTCTAAGGTGAGTGGAAGGAGGCCAAAATGAAGAAGAAAGCTATTAATCAAACTTTTCTCCAATG